GCCTGAGGAAGTAGTCGCTGATGTGCTTTCTTGATCAGGCTGGTAGCTGTTGCCAACCTCAGCTGTTGGCAACTGTTGTTGCCAACAGCTGAGGTTGTCATTCAGGTGCACACCAAAGTACTTGTAACTGGAGACCACTTCCACCGCAGATCATCCTATGTTTGTGGGGTGGTGGTGGTGGTGTAGGTGTGTTTGCTCCGTCTGAAATCCACGATCATCTCATTCATCTTCTTTACATTGATGTGGAGGTTGTTCTTTCTGCTCCAGCTCTCCGGGGGTTCCACCATTGTTTGTGATGCATCCCACCACCACTGTATCGTCCGCAAACTTTAAAATGTGACAGCCTGGATGGGTAGGTGTGCAGTCATATGTGAGCAGAGTGAACAGGAGGGGGCTCAACACACAGCCTTGAGGGGAGCCAGTGCTGAGGGTTGTGGTGGAGGAGAAGTTTTGGATCCTCACAGACTGCGACCTGTTGGTTATGAAATCCAGTTGCCTAGGGAGGGGCTTAGTCCTAGTGTGAGTAGTTTGTCCATCAGGGTTTGGGGGATCATGGAATTGAAAGCAGATGTGAAGTCCACAAAGAGCATACGGACGTAGGAGTCCTTTTGTTCCAGGTGGGTGAGAGCAGTGTGGACCACAGAGGAGATGGTGCCCTCTGCTGATCGATTCTTGTGGTATGCGTACTGATGAGGGTCCTCGCTGATGTCGACGGTTGTTTTGATGTGGGCCATGACCAGTCTTTGAAAGCATTTAATGACTATCGTGTGAGGGCTACTGGCCGGTAGTCATTCAGACCAGTCGCTGCAGAGCTCTTAGGTGGGATGATGGTGGCAGTCTTCAGACAGATGGGGACTGTTGCCAGGGTAAGTGAGGTGTTAAAGAAATCGTAGTTATCTTTATCTATATTTATCTGTAGCCGATATATTTCTACTCGATGCCAAATGTCACAGCACAACACTGATACAGAACTTTACAAATAAACATTGTTTGAGCCCATAAGCTGATTCTGATGATTGTGAGTGGTTCAATATTCAGCTGAAACTGATCAAAGTGCAGAATATTCTTGCTTGATGATCTCTGTCGGCTCTCTGTAGGTAATGATGACTTTGGTGTAGCTATGCATATTTCTTCAGATTTGCACATCAATTTTAATTCCTACACCCTCTGCAGGACAGCCAGTTGTTCCAGATGCAGCTTCACACCAAGAACTGAAGACAAAAATCAGTTTAGCAAGATTTCAGACTGACTCCCTTGTTTGTGTTCAGACTAGAACACAGCAACAGGGAAAGTTTGGTCTGAAAGGACCAACAGTTTGTGTTGAAGTGGAGCCAGCATCTGAGGCAGCCAGGCCCAGAGGATGACGAGCCTGTTTAGGCACAGCAGCAGCAATAGTGGAGGCTCTCAGGGCAATGAAAGTGGAGGTGGTTCTGGTGCCACCCATGGACAGCTTAACAACAGCAGACCCAACCAGCTGGTCAGGCGCCTCGAGTTTAATCAAGCCATGGAAGACTTCAAGACCATGTTCCCCTCGATGGATTGCGAGGTGATTGAGTGTGTGCTCCGCTCAAATAATGGAGCTGTGGATGCCACCATCGACCAGCTTCTTCAGATGAGTCTCGATGGACAATGTTCCGATGACAGCTCTGATTCAGATGACAGCATTCCAGCAGAGGTCAGTGATGAGTCGATTTGTCCTGATCAGAACATCACTGTTAATGGTGTTAATAATGTAAAATGGATAATATTTAGCTTTTATCAGATTATCATAATGTCAAGTTTATTTTATCTCATTTGAAAACGACACTAATGTAAGTTTCTGTTTAGCTTCTGGAGCGAACTTTAGAACCTGACAGCTCAGATGAAGAACCACCTCCTGTTTATTCTCCACTTGCACATGATGTGTACCCGAAGGTCCCACCAACACCCCAACAACAACAGTAAGGAAGTGGGCCCGTTCCTCTTCATATGCTGTTTTCATGCACATTTTAAAGTTCTGAATTAAAAAAAAAAAAAAGGTTGATGAAAGGGTTCAGTTTGGGAAGTTTCTCTTTTCTTCACTTCAGTTTTGCCCCTTTTCCACTGTCACGGCGCGGGTCGGATATTTCCGGCTTGACCCGTGTTTGAGGTCTTTTCCATGGTTCTTGGGACCGGCTCGCCTCCCAGAATTCTGGCCCAGCTTCTCAAGGGGTCCAAGCGAGCCGAGCCCTGACGTCAGAAACTCTGTCGGTCACTGATTGGTCGGGGGGAGGAGTCTGTGGAGTCTTTCCAAACAACCCAATCCGCCATTTTTCTTTACCGCCTGCCATTAGCAATAACTCGAGGAGCGTATCTTTTAGTATTTTGAAGCTATACAAAAACAATAATATCAAAGCCGTGGTCAAATGCAGAAGTGCAGGTGTTGTTGTGCTTGGTGGCCGAAGAAAAAAAGTCAAAGCGAGCTAGATGGAGGATTGGAGGGTGGTTTGGACACGGTTACTGCTCTACTTGAATCATCAATCGTCAAAGCCAGTTGGTGCCCTGCTATGGGTTCAGCGAGAGTAGCGCCACACTGAAGCCACGGAGCTCGAATGTCCAACGTAAAACTAACTTTACCGCTGTTTTTTTTTATTTTTTTAAACATTATATTTATTGAATTTTGTAACATAAAAAGACAAACAAGTGACAGTGGTACATTAACAGAAGATTCACATTAAACAACTCAGTCCCCAGAGCAAACAGAACTAAAAAGGAAAAAAAATAAAATAAAAATCAACAGTACACATATCAGAAAACACAAAATAAATAAATGAATAAAAAAATAAATAAAATAAAAACAACTCAAAAAATACTCAGCAACATGCACCGTTCATCTAGTTTCCTTTGTAGTGTTTCAGGAACTCAGTCAATGGTGACCAGGTTTCTTCAAATTTCACTCCCTTTCCTCTGACAATATAAGTGAGTTGCTCCAGAGCCATACGTGATGCCATCTCCTTTACCCACATGGGATTTGACGTATGTCCATTTTTTTCCAGTGTAGAGATATTAATCTCCTGGCCTGCAGGAGTCCAACATCGATCAATTTTAACTGTCTGGGACTAAGAACACAGTTCTCTGGGTAAATACCTAAAACACACATTTAGCCTCAGTGGGTACATTCACTCCAACAATCCTTGACAAAGTTTGCGTAACTGAGTTCCAGTATTGCTGTAATTTTGGACACTCCCTACACAGTGAAATCCAACCAAGCACTTACTGCAGTTGTCTGGGATGTTAGGTGACCAGCGATTCAGTTTGACAGGAGTTATGCAAGTTCTCATCAACCACTTGTATTGGAGGAGTTTCATCCTTGTGTTAATTGACTGCTTTTGGGCTTTTAAGCATGCGGTTTCCCAGTCCGCCACTTGTATCTCTTCTCGGAAGTCGGATTTCCATGCATCCAATCTGTCTGCGGTAGATTCCTCATCATGCATTAGTAAAGCTGCATAAAATAAAGAAATGTGGCCTCTCCGCTCCAGATTGTCTACTACAATATTCTCGAGGTATGATAGTGGTGGTCTGGATTCAATCTGTGTTTTGACATAATGAAATGTTTAATTTGTAAATACTTATAAAAGTGTTTCTTTGAGATGCTATATATTTGGCATAACTGCTCAAATGTAAGAAGCCTGTCATCCTTATAGAGATCTGCCAGTTTTTGTACACCTTTATTCGCCCAGATTTTGAAACCTCCGTCAGCTCTTCCTGCCTTAAAATATCTGTTCCCCCAAATAGGTGAAAAAGGAGAAATGGAAGGAGTATCTCCAATATATTGATGGGTCCTATACCAAATGTCAATTGTGTTTTTTAAAAAAAAGTTTTTTTGTCATTTTTATCAATTATTTTGGCCTTGCGGAATACAAATACAAATTTAATCTAAGGTTTGTTACTAATTGTTCATTTTTTGTCCACGCTGGGGGTGTTTCAGTTGAAAAGTAGAACGTGGCTGAGCGCAGCTGCGCGGCCCAATAATACAATTTAAATATCCTGATGCATGCTCAATAATCCAGGTAGAAAAATCTAAAAAAGTTAAATCTGGTCCTCTGGACATTCAAAAAAACAAAACAAAGCAAATCAACAAAAAAATGTAGAATACAATTTAAAATTAGGGAGTTGTAGCCCCCCTCTCTCATATGGCAGATACAGTAGGTGAAGTCTTGTTCTAGGTTTTTTATTGTTCCAAATAAATCTATTAAAAATACAGTTTAATCCATCAAAAAATTGTTTTGGAAGAGGCAAAGGAATTGACTGAAACAGATACAAAAATTTTGGTAATATATTCATTTTGATTATGTTTATTCAGCCAATCATTGATATGGGCATTATCATCCATTTATTTAGTGACTCATTTACTTCACTAACCATAGGATCATAGTTTGTTGGTACGGTTGTTTTAATGTCTGGGGTAATTTTAACACCAAGGTACACTAATCCCTCTCTTGCATTGATAAATGGGGTTTGTATAACTGGGTTTAGTCTTTCATCCCTGTTCAAAAATAGAATAGAGGA